ACTCAGTTTCTTTCCCCCCAATGAACTCCAAAAAGTTTCTGGCTTGCTTTGACCCAAATTCACACACTTACCAAAGCCTTTCCTCAGATAGGACGAACTGGTAGTATAGCTTGACAATTGACTTCTCAGTATGAGAGTAGGGAATTGCAACTTATTAACTAATAATAAAAAACAGTATGCGTATCTCACGCCATACCCTACGGCTCTGCCTAGCACAGGACAGTGAACTTGGTGGATTCATCTGTGTGGTAGGAGCCGCAATCTGAACTAAATCACGGGTGCTCTCACCGACAGCGTCTCGAGTCAGTTAACAGTCGGTCTGAACAGACGTGGGCTTACCCCAAGAATCTCATGAACGGCCGATCGTCCCTTGGGATGGACAGAGAACGCTGAGTCCTGCGTAGAGGTCGAGAAGATTCTCCGGGATGAACGTGGATTTCGTTGCAAGTTCACGCGCGTCATTCGTGACAAGCTTCACCAAATCCGATTCAAAGCAAACAGGAAAAACATTAAGGAACGTTCATTGTCTCACATACGATTGGATCTTCATAGAAAAACATCGATAAGGAGAACACGGCGCGTGTCCCTCGTCAACACTATGTCAACGATACTATTATTATTCATCAGTATCAGAACAGTTAGTACGATCAGCCAACGCACAAGGTCATTACAACACAGACCGAGCAAATAACAATGGCACTGTACGTCTCCGACATGCTACCGCCGATGGCGTCACAGTCTACCATACTTGGAACTTAAGGTATTTACACACATACAAGGCCTTATCCCTTTGTAGGATTGCCATTCGTGCGCTCAAAACATGTCTACAGTCCAATCTTGTGGAGGTCGTGCCCCGCACTTTGAATTTCACTATCGTTCCATATAGTCCGACTAAAATGTTCCAGTGCCCTTCCGCTGACCCTTGTCAAGGGGGGAGCGAATGCAAATACACGGTTCTTCAGCCTTTACGCGTCGGGATCCTTAGATAGGGTTTTGAAGGTTTGATTCATGAGTGTTTAGCTTTTCACGTGATATACTCTCTGGCTGGGTTCTCATGACCGCTAGTTATACTAGGTCTATGGTGAAACATCTCGCTAGATATTAAGCTGGCGTGGAAAGTGTTCTCACGGTTTTACTATGGATAATTATGCTGAGAGGAGAGTGTTCCACGGTGCGGTTTTCCCCGTTTATGGCATCGTGGAAAAGTGTGTAGGATTGCTACCGCAAACCTACTCTATCACACAATACAGTCTCCCGCGGTAAGTTCAGAATAATTCTACGATCCTTTGATTGTGGATCTCTCTCGTCGATTAGTTTTCATAGCTTTCTAATCCTCTCATAACTTTCATTCTCTCAAACTCAAAACACTCGAAAGATCTTTACACTAGCTTTTAGCGTAGTGCACAAGTAAATAGGGAAAGGGGTTTGAAAAGTAATCGGCGCGGGCTCCTTCACCAACGTTCCAACCACCGAACAACTGGGCTGCAATGTGAAGTTTGCAACCGTCAAGGAGGAATTGGGCGGTGTGTTTACCGTAATGTGACGTTCCTTTTCGAATTGAATTGTTGTCTGGTGGGTAACGCTTCCAGAGGGAGTCTTGCATGTTTCTGTAGTACGTCGAGGCACTGGATTCTCCAGTTAATGTGTTGATTGATGGCATGATGGCTTTGTCACTGCGAATGAACAAGGCCAGGCCGATGGCGACGGTGAGGTCGCCAAGAACTTCGTTTTTATTGGGAATCAAAGGGTGGTTATTGTCAACGCCCATCTTGTCACGGACTAGAAAGCATTGGAGGATGTTGTTTCGGGGTCCCTCGTGGAGCTCTCTGATGGAGAGGTTTTTACAGTGAGCTTCGAAGTTTCTGTTGCTCTGCTGCAGAGTCTGAGGGTGGCTGTCTGAAAGATGTAGAAGTCGAGGTACTTTTCAAGGTTGAACCAAAGACAGCGTTGTAGGATGAATGCAATGTCTTGACTGCTGTAGACTTTGTTCTTGGGTGGGAGACCTGACATTTTCTTTTGGTCTTTGATCATCACTTTTAAAAGACACAAGGCAGAGGAGTACGTTTCTTCAATGACTCGAAGGTAACGGGAGAGTATGAACTTCTTTGTTAACTGATTCTTGATGGAGGGCATGTACCTCTGAATGGTGCCTGCGGCGTATTCGCCTCCTGTGGATTTTTTGAGGTTGAACCAAAACGCAGGTTGACCTTCCCAGAATGCAAACCACCACTTGGTTACGACATCATCGTTGGTGGAAAAGGAGCCTCCGGTTTCACCCATGTCGGTGTAACTTAACCTGGGAAGGCTTAGTCGGTCTTGGAGGTTGTCCAGATAGATTTGGATCTTGGAGGAAGTGGAGTTGTGTTTGGCTTGGCAGGATTTCGAGGAGGAGGCGTAGAAGTCGACTTCGATCGAATCCAACGGCGACGACATGGTCGGGACGAAGTTGGGTTTCCTTTTTTTTGTTCCTTCAAGTTGGGAAATTAATGAGCTTAGATTGTCATTTGGTATCCTTCGTTGGAAATATTCCCACACACCGGCGAGGTGCACCAGGCCGTCATCGGATCTGAGAAGGGGTGGTTGAATGCTGGGGAGTGGAATCAGAATTTCGAAACTGCCGCGAAACTGCCTGGAGAGGGGGCAATCTTTGTTGTTTAGATGAAGTGCTCAGGACGGTTTAAAGTTTGCAACCGTTGATTGAAATTGGGAAAATAGCGCGAACTCATTTTGCGTCGATTACAGGTCCTTGTGAAAAAGATTCCTCTTGGCGTGAAAATTGCTTAGGTGGCAAGTCGTGGGTTGGATTTAAGGGACCGTTTGCGCCACTGGCACCAACAGACCACGTTTTGACCTTAGATAAGCGGTACTAGATTATAATTCTTTCTACTTTATCGTCCGGCTCGGCAACAGCAGCACTCACAACACCACCACCAACCAACCAACGGTACGAGAGCTCCGCATCCGTTAAGCATGGTGGCGTCTTGTTCTTCTGTTTGTACCAAGGTCTAGAAAATATCCTTTAAATCTCTTAAACAATCTTTAAATCTACTGGAGCATACAATATTTAGTATCCCGCCAACAGGCCCATCCAACATCTCCATGCACGATCGATAGCTTCTCCTTTGTTCAAGCGTTCAAGCAAGCATCCGAACAAGGCGCTCTGCAGATCTACAGAAGAGGTCTCGGCCACTGGCAAAACACTCCACAACATACCAGCAACAATGCGAGATGCCACTCCCCTTATCAAACGTAGTTCGGCCGAGCAAGAGTCAACCTTCCTGGCATCTCACTTTTTCCCTCGCAACCGATCCAAACAGTGGAACCAAGAGGTGAGATCCGGAGATCCACGCAGAACTGCCATCAGCTCACAAATCCTCAAACACTGCAACAACATCATGACCTACAAGTCTACTGCATCCAACGCTACCAGAGCTGCATCTCCCACAAGGCAGGTGTGGTTTAGCCGAACCGACGTGATCATTACTTGCAGTTACCCTGACGATCGTGACACCAGTACCCCCACCACCACTGTCACCTATGCCCAACACAAGCATGAAGAAAGTGTTTCCAGAAAGCAAGATCCCATGGCGGCTGCCATGCGTCGTGCTCGCAGGAGCAGAAATGGTTCCATCCTGCGAGAAGCTGTATCGTACGTCCGAGAAATCGTCGCCGTGCAACACAAGATCCGAAGAAAGTACCGTCCAGAAGAAGCCACTGTTGTTTTGGGTCGGTATGCCACTCTCAAAACCAAACTGAATCGCATCGAAGCATGGGAAAAGGCTCGAGCTACTACTCATGATGCCATGAAAATTCATCAGGAGGCTTCAGTGGTGGAGTCACGCAATACTAAAAGGCGCCGATGCTATGAAACCAACGAGAAAAGATCTCTTGTCAAATTGCTATTCCGAGGGTTTCCTACTGGTGCCCACAAAAGCAAGGCGTCATTCTTTGCAGCAGCACCGCCAGCCCGACAAATATCGGCTTATTAGAAAAAACATAGAGTTGAAAAGCGGTGCGTGGCACTCCCGAAGGCGCAGTCAGTTGTACCAGATACAACTACCGGTACTAGTAACTGTGCAAAATCAAAGAATACCGGGAGTGTTACTGTACCAAGTTTTGTCCAACCCTTTGTCATATTGTAATAATAATGTAACAACCAGAAGCAAACATATTGTCAAGATACTTGTGTTTGATAGGATACCTGGTAGTTGATAGCTGCATGGATGACGGCATTGTCAGCCCATTTGAGTGGGAACCATGGACCAGTCCTTCCCTTGCTTGAGGCTTCGGGGTCGTTTAGAACGGGCGTGAGACAACTTCACTGGCTTCTCTGCAGTGATGCAGGACCACTTCCCGGATGCTTCGTTCCGAATGGCGCACAGTCCAGTTACCAGCTGACAGCACTCTTCGCCTTTCGTTGACTGCCTCCAGAATGCAAGAAGTTATATGAAGCAAATAGACAGCCATGGTCCTTCCAAATGCATCCATTGGAGTGGGAGGGCCCTTATCTGCCGTTGCTGCTTTGTCCAGAAGATCAGAAGCTTGCAGAGGAGGTGGCTTTTTCCTCCACAAAAGAAATGTGATGCTCCTGTGTTTTTTGATCATCTTTGCCTGGGTGCTGATTCCCCAGCAAAATTACTTGACCATGACAAAGACAGCAAACAGTCAAGTCAGGCAGCAAAAGAAATCCACACAGAAAAACAACTCGCCAGGGAAAGAAACCAACGGTTTGGCGGAGGATGGATTTCGGTTGTGTCGGGCATTGACAGCCAAAAACAAACCAATCATGGGAGAGCCACCTCGACAAGTTTCCAGGGAAATGGCTCCCTTGGAAATATTCTACCAATGTGCAGGACCGGCATATGACCGTTTTGGAGATGAATTGCATGCTCTGGTGAAAAGGACAGCATCCAAACGAAAAACCCCGCCTCTTTGGGGTCGTCGACCTGAACCCATTCCTCCTCATGAAAAAACAACCACTACCGAAACACCACCCACATTTGTCCTGTTTCTTGGATCGGACCATTTGCGACAAATTGCGACAGCCTTCTTGTGTCAATATTCCGATTTGGTCACATCGGTGAGACAAATATACCAATCCAAGAATCGAGTGGTCCAGAGCCATTATTGGGAAATCCTGTTGCAGTCCAATGTGCATGTGTTTGTCGTCATCAATCCAGCATTGGTTTATCATGACAGCTGGCAAGAATTATTAGAAAAACACGTTCTCAACATGCCTTTGTCCAAGATGGATATTGTCATCACTTCCAAGCTTCATGGCTATTCCCCGAAGCAGGGTGTAGCGTTTGAAGAATTCTGGGTGGATCATCACGAGAAAGATGCGCCTGTGCCGGACATGGTCCATCAGGATCCCATCAAATATATGGATTTATTGGTATCAACATCCGAAGACACCAAAGGCAGTGTTGTATACGAAGGACCCATCATCTATGTCAGCTTGTTTGCACCCTATGGGCAATCTGACTATGATCGTGTTCTTCAGGTCATTGCTGATTTGAAGAAGGGAAAGCAATTGCCTCCTGAACCTCGAGATCCAAAGAAGATGAACAAACTGGACCATACAAAAAACCAGAAAGCACTACTACAACAATCTACAGAGGGCAAGGGGAGTCAAACACGACGGTTGCAACAACAGCAACAGCCAAACAAGCTGGGAAAGCGCACCAACATCATGGCCATTGATGCCAGAAAACATGTGGATGCAATAGGAGAATGTGCCACCGTAACAGCTGAACAGGTTGGCAGTTGTATTACGGACGCCAGGCATGATATTTATAAAAAAGGAACCCGGTGCTTTGGTGAGAAAGGTAGCCATGCCGATTTGATAGCATGGGATGTCATTGAAGCAATCCACAAATTGATGCAAAGGCCAAGACCTGAAACTTGATGGAATGTTTTTGGAACCTGAGACTGGCCTGGAGGTAGTCTGCCAGTCGTCTTGTACAATCGCAATGGAGAGTTCCACGGTGCTACCGGTCCCCTAAAATTGGAATTCCAGCCAGAAATTGCAAAAGCATGAATTTGGTTTCAGGCCAAGAGGTGGACAGGCTTGGTTATCTGTACATGGAATTGAAACCAAGTATCTGTACGGTACCGGTAGCTGTACGCCGATTCTACGGCGGAGTAGTTGTGGAGTATATGATAGTTCTAACTAGCCAACGCGTAACTGCTAGCAGAGGCATTGATTGTAGCTTTGACTTGATTTGTCTTGTACACAAACTATCACTGCAAGTCATGCCAATTGCCTTGGGAAGACACGACAGACACCACTTTTTGTTTTAGGCAAATGAATGTTTGTTCTCCGCCGCCCACTGTCCTAATGTCGTCAATGGCCTACCAAGAATCTTGGCAAACACTGGATCTGGATCGTAGGGGATGTGATTCCCCTCGCCCTCTGCCATGTAATGGTACAGCTCGGAAAGAATGGGATTTTCCGATGTCCATTCCTGCAAGGGTGGAGCATCCGCAGTCGGATACGTAATGGGCGTGTCCAATCCGGCGCCCAGTTCGGTAGCAATTGCACTGTGCGATAGAAGTTCTGGTCCACAACACTCGACAAAGGCTTGATGGTACTGGCTGAAATTGTCGTCGTCTTTTTCTAGCAAGGCTGCCGCTGCGTGTCCAATATCGTCGACATCAACGGGTGGGATTTGACAATCAGGAAGTGGCAGCAACTGTCCTTTGGCTTGAATGGCTTCTCCGTGAACATGGGCGAAATTGGGCATAAAGTATCCTCCTCGTAAGACGGTCCATTCCATCTTGTCTCCGATTTCTTCTCTCAGATAATCTTCCGTGGGAGCAAACCTGGAACTCAAGATGGGCAGTTGCGTCGGTGCCTTGACGGTCCAACTTCCCACGTGCACAATGCGTTGCACGCCAACCTCGTGTGCAGCCTGAATCATATTGATGCTCTTTTGGGCATCCTGCTGTACACCGGCCTTGTAGTCCAACGGTGTCACCAGCAAGGCTCGATCCATACCTTGCAGTGCTCGACGCAGCGAATCCACGTCGGCGGCGTCGATATGAGCCACCGATTCATACTTGCTGGTAGCATTCCGAAGGGGCAGAGAGGAGGGTCTAGTGGCAGCGATACCCTGTCTTCGAAAACAACCGCGAACAAGAGAGATACCACTGTTGGATACTAAGAGTCTTTGCATGCAAGCCAAACCAGAGGCACTGCTGCCAGTAATGACGGCAATCTTGACCATCGTTTCCTTTTCTTTTCTCCCAATAATGGCTGGCACCCCGAAAGAGGATAGATTGATTGGTGATGGGAGGACGGTATGGTACTCAAAAGATATTTGTCTGGGATACAATAAAAATAATTTAAAAGGGTCCTTTCAAAGGACATGAGCTAGCTAGTAGCTAACTTTTTTGTAGCTGAAACAACCACCCTCTGCGAACATGTCCAATTTGTCTTCCCTGAAACCCCACGCACGGCTTTGCAGCACCATCAACGGTGGAGGTTGGACCTCTACGATTTGGCCCGTGAGAGTATCAGTGCGGGATGACGAAAGAGAGATTCGGCAAGCAGTTGATCCAATTCAGCGACAAGTTGCCCCAATTGGAGGCAGAGGGGTTCCTAAAAGTCACATTGTGCTTGGAAGATTCGGCCAAGGCGCTACATTGGCACTTGAGAACGCCTATGGCGACAATGAAAGTTATGGTGGATGCATTGCCTTGCCAGGGAGCGGAAACCTCAAACAAGCCGGTGAAAGCAGTAGTGATGGTTTGGCACAACAATCCAGGGCAAAAAGAGCAGCGTGGCGGCACTTGGCTGCCTGTGATGTCTAAAAATTGACTCGACTCACCTTCACGGGCCGTCCGCGATATGCGTTCCTGTCGTGTTTCTCGCATACAACATGACGGCAATTCCTGAATGCGTACATCATACGGGTGGGGCTCCCGGGAGCGTTATTGTCGTGGTAGCATCCAATGTAAGAACACACGTTTTGTTCTGAAGGCGCAGGGGATCCCCGCAGACCGCTTCAAAGGTCCATCGATCAGTAGCCTGCCAAAATGAAAATGGATCTGCAAAAACCAAGTGGAGGAGTTGTTCCGCAAGCTGAGCTGCTTCCCTGAAGAATATTTTATCGAGGCAATCCATAGTGATGACAATGTCCTTATCATTACCACAGAGTGGACTGTCGCCGATTGTGCCAAAGGTACTACTGCACTCAGACGATGAACAGCAATACGCAAAACCGTGACTTGCTCGGAGACGTACCGGATTCGGTTGGAGGAATCGAATCGAATCCACCTGAAGATCCCACACGACACCTGCCTTCCGGACCCAGACTGCTGGAATGGCGGGAACATCGACATGGAGTCCATTTTTTTCTCGCCACGGACATGGGTTGCTTCATTAACAGTGTATCCGAGGAAGATTGGGGGAGGCCTTATTGATATGAATTCGCTCGAACTGGACTTTGAACGCAACATTGCTGGAGCGATCCAATCCACCATAGTACATGTACAACAGTGATGCCATTGTGGGAATTGTGTGGGAACTACTAATGGTGACTCAACCTCATGTCGCCTCTAGCTACTTCAAAATCTCATCCGCGAAGCCAGCACGTATTGCTTCTCACTTCACGTACTGGTAAGTATTCTACCTTCGGTTTTCTAGTCTGCTTCGTACTAGTAGTCTACTTTACTTCATATGCTGCGTCCTTTTGTTCACGTCTCTTGCCCATCGCTCCGCCAAAGCCAGCACAAAACTGCTGTACGATTGACGCAAGCAGCCAAGCGAATCGCAACAAGATTCGTGTCATGTTGCAACTAACTAAGTCTTTAGCTGGAGCAGACGCCACACGTCTTGGGGCATCCACGAGCGATAAAGCCGTAGTTTCCACAGTACCACTCCGCATGGGCCGATTCCGCAAAGCGAGAGCAATGCAGTTCGATTTCCTTATCAGTGCCACGGTTCATCACTAAAACAACTCCACTGGAATCGATGCATTCCTGCTCCATAAGCATCTCCTGCTCGGTAAGGAGTCGCCTCCGGTTGTCAAGCTCGGAACAGCCAGTGGGCGCGCTGGTAGGGCTGGCAGTCGGGCTCTTGGTGGGGTTTGCAGTTGGGGCTGCTGTAGGATTCGCAGTTGTGGGGCTTGTGGAAGGACCTGGGGTGGGGCGCTTGGTTGGGTCTGCGGTGGGGGCGCTGGTAGGGCTCTCGGTGGGGTTTGCAGTTGGGGTGCTGTAGGATTCGCAGTTGTGGGGCTTGGGGAAGGACCTGGAGTGGGGCGTTTGGTGGGATTTGCGGTGGGCGCGCTGGTAGGGCTGGTAGTGGGGCTCTCGGTGGGGTTTGCGGTTGGGGCTGATGTAGGATTCGCAGTTGTGGGGCTTGGGGAAGGACCTGGGGTGGGGCTCCTAGTTGGACTTTTGGTGGGACTGTCAGTGGCATCCATTACAGCAACTCTGGACACACAGGTGTAGTCGTCTTCTCCAGCGGCACAGATCTTTTCTTCGATAAAGCCCTTCATCCAATCGATGTTTGCGGACCCGAAGCCATAAGGATCGTTGCGATCAGGAAACATTGGGTGCTGGGCTCCCAGGTTGTGGCCTGTTTCGTGTGCGAACTAAACAAACAAGCAACGTCAGTACAGTAGATCACAGCAACAGGAATGAAAACCGAGCAAATCAAATACACTGGGCTTACCAAATGAGGGCTGGGGGTGCCGGCCCAGTTTTGAACGCTAAGTCCGTAGGCGCCGCCGATGTAATTGTTTCGACCAACCTTACTGGTAAAGGCCTGCCCAACACAACCTCCTAGATCATCTCGACCACTGATGAACTGTGCCAAATCGCCTTGCTTCCCAATTTTTTGAATCTCATCAGCGAAGGTGTACAAGATTTCTCCGTAGTAGCTTCCCCGGCACATGTCAGGAGCGGAGGCCATAAGATTTCGCATGGGATCAGTAGAGGGATTCGCCCAGACCGTGATCATGCTGATTTGGTACTGCACGCACAATGGCGCCATGTACAATGTGTTTACACTTGCAATAGCATTGGTCGTCTTCTCCTTCGCCAACTCGACAGACCCCTCTCCGGCCCCGGCCACAAAGTAAGAGTCGAGCACGATGTGAATCTGGATGTAGTCAGTGAAGGGACATCCCTCTTGGAGAGAGCGATACTTGGGGTTTGGCGTTCCACCACGAAGCTTGCGACCACCGGTGTTCTCCGTTGGTGAGCCTATCATTCCTTCAGCGACATCATAGATTTCATCCTGGCCGTCCTCCATATCTTTCATCGCATCTTCGTCCAAGTCCTCGGGGGCTACCGTCACAAAGAAATCTGATCCTGGAATAGGAGCCACCTCCACAACCCGGTCTTTGGACATCTTGTTGGCCGCAACGAGCCCACCATTGGCGTCCATGGTGACAATCACATCAGGGTCATCCTTACTCTCGTAGTCCGTCAAGAGAATGACGCGCTCCACTCCGTCCACGACGAACTTGGCGTTCTCGGAAAAGATGTTGATGGGAATGAGATCCTTGTCTTCCAGGGAGACGACCTTGCCGTCAATGTCGACGGACTTGGCGCCTTTGGGGACTTGCTGGAAGGTGTGAGCCCCCTTCTTCATATGATGCTGCCTCTCGAAGTCAACGAGGGCGTGGCGCTTGAACAAACCATTTTCCTGCGCGTCAACCATAGGGAAGGCGAAGGTGGCCATGGTGGCGAGAGCGGTAATAGGGAGGGATAGTTTCATGTTTCTGGTTTACTGTATATTTCGTTTTGTCTTTTGCTTTGGTTGATGCACTTTGAGTCAATCGAATTGTGAGCTCGATGTTTTGCATCCATCCTCCATCCCGTCTGAAACCATTAGGTTCCAATATCCCTGACTCGGAGTCAGGGATCTCTTGCCTGAATCGAATCCAACAGAGAATACTTTCGTTACCAACGAAACATACTGTAGAGACTTGGTGGTAATAGCTAGCTACAAGTAGGTGGTAGACAGGGACAGCAGGGACAGAGCGATTTCGTACTCCAAGACTCTTCAAGATACGGATACGTGAGGCGAGCTGCGCCGGGAATAGATCGCTTTGTGAGCAAGATAGTTCAGGGAGTTTGAGCTGAAACGTTTTAACACTTTCAATAAACTAAAGCGGTCCTTGAAACTCCGAGACCCCAAAACAGCCAGTGCTCAGGAGATCTCGAAATGCCGAGTGGTCGTAAAGCCTTATCCTCGAGCCACCTTGCTGTGCGTGGACGCTCGAAAGGAGCAATCAAGTAAGTGCTCGAGCACAAGAATGAAGTACTCTACCAGCAGTACGGTACCAGTACGTGTACCGGTACCGGAAGGAGAATTATTGCTTGTTCTTGCCCATAAAGCCCTCGTCAATGAATCAGTAGAGTGTACTAGTACTAGCTAGTACTTCTCAAGCTCTTTCAATGGGATTGCAACGAGTTGAGGTAAATGTAGTCAATCCACTATTCTCACCGCATCTCGCGCGTTCCGGGTTCCGGGCCCTTGGATTCCCAGAGGTGGTACAGTACGACTGTACCGGTACCGGTGCCTGGTACCGGTATCTGTAGGGGGGTTCTAAAGGTTTAACATAAAAGAGTCAGTTAAAGTGGGATTCAGGCTGCCTGAGAACTGAAGGGGATGGGCAAATCTTGCAATAGCCCTGTATTGTAATGGAGTGAGACTCGCCAAAATCAGTTAAAAAGACGAAATTCGTATTTTTGCCAGAAGATAAATTTAATTGGATTGCATTGGATTGGATTGCATTGAATTTGATTGAATTGGATTCCAAATAGTACTGTTATTCATATATAGTAAACTGTAATTCAATGCAATCCAATCTAATCCAATGCAATCCAATCAAATCCAATAGAGAAAAACAGCCAAAGTAAAAGATTGGCTTAGAGAACACAATTTTTAAAAAAACGCTCTAACAAATTCAACACAGAGCCATGGGCAAGTTTGCTCATCCCCGAACGAGTGTGGAGTCAGCGAGACTGACTCAACCGGCTTATGGTCAGGAGGTCTTTGGATCCTCCAGCTGCCCAGAAAGCTTATCTCATGAGTATCCTCAACCCAACTGAAAAACAAATTTAACGCCTTTTGAAATTTTCTTAGCCGCTTTGCAAGAAACAACGCATGAGTTCAAGACTGGCTGGCAGGAAAAGAAGGTGCGCTACCGGGATTTTTTGATAGACGATTGAGCGAGCGTTATCGCTGGTTGAAAGTAACTGTTGCCACTGGCGGAAGGAAATGGACAATCCGTGGTGTCGCGTTGTTGTTGACGAGGAAAACGAATGCTACCCTCATCCATCTCCTCATCCGTCTCCCCATCCAATCCCATCTATCTACGCCTATCGCCTTTTTCATCATCAAAAGAGAGAAAGAGAGAGTGGTGTCCCCGTGTGCTACCCAGATAACAGGCAAGGGCCTCTGTCTGCTAGGTCTGTCAGCGCTTGAGCAATAATAAAAAGGGGGTATCTGGCGGCTTTGCTACTGTTTTCGTCAGCGTTCTACAGTTACAGGGCCCTGTAGAAAGTTCCTCTGATTGTCCGGTTATACGAAAGATGCCGACTGAACAGTATGGAACTAGCAGCAACAACACTGTTGCAGCAAAAAGGGGTCAACAACAAACTCCATCTCCATCCACTTGTCGATCGGCCAGCAGCAGTCCAGCCATGATGCTACAGCGAGGACGACAGAGTCCACGAATCGCACCTCCTACGACGGAGTTTCAGCAGCAACATCAGAAGGGTTACTTTGGAAGACAGCATCACTCAATGAGACCTAGTGCTTGGACTATCCCCTTGGAAGAAGAAGAAAAGCACCAAGGGATCCTGAGCTCTGGTTCTGATTTGGCCTTTTCAGATGACGGCAGTAATAGTGACGATTCGCTGCCATTGGTAGGAGAGGAAAAGTACAATGATTATGAGCTACCCTTTGTGACTCCGGACCGATTAACTCCTTGCAAATCCAATGTCAACAAAGGCAAGACGAATGGCTCTACTACTAGTAACACCAATGGCAGTGCTACCCAATCCAAACCACCACTCAAGCTACCAGGATTATTTCCTCCTATTCGAAGAGCCCTACACAATTCACATCGCAAAAAGAGACTCCACTACATCACTCCCAAAGACAGAAGAAACAATATTTTAGAAACATCCCACGAAACAGACGAAATCTATTCTCACCCACAATATCATCAACAACAACCATCTTCCGCCCGTGGGAATGGTCTCGTGCTGGACTTGACGTCTCTCTTCACAGCCGACCCTACCACACACAAGCCAGGACCTCAATCTCCTTCCGAAACCGCCACCACTGCTGCATCTACCAATAACAACATCAATAACCAGAACATTCATCGTACCAAGTCTCCCCTTCCAATCAATCCATACAATGCTCCCACTCCTCCTCCTTGGAGACAAAAACAACGAGCAACTCCTCAGTCTCCGGTTACAGTACTATCCCAAGAAGCTACAGCCACCACGGATCCATTCAATAATACGGCAATACACCACACCAAATCCAATGTTACTGCCCGAGAAGATCTCCAATGGGATACCAAGTCACAAACTACGCAAGAAGCCCTCAGCACAGAACGACAGTCACAAGCACTGACGCAATGGCTCAACTTTGTGCTGGTTGGAGATCAGCAACTATTGCAAGAACAGCAGCAACAACAGCAGCAAGATCGGTCCAACCGACGCAAAACGCCTCGAAAACGAGATACAGCCACGCCGACTACCGACACAAAGTCCGTGGATGCAAGTCGTGCCGCATTTAGCACTCCCACCGGGGCTACTTCACCGACCGGGGCTGCCAGTATCTACAGCCGGGGGACAACACCAACCATGGGTACCCGATGCATGACTCCATCGGCACAATCCGTAGCGGCGCACAGTGTCAGTAGTGCCCGAACGACTCCTACCAAGAATCTTGTGACTAAACGACGTCAAAATCGGCGATTTTCCATGTTCCAATATGCACAGTCGTTTGATCATGCTCAAGAACAGGCACATCATTGGTTCCATCATTCGCCGCAGTGGAGAGAAATTCGGACACGAATACGATGCGAGGTCGCCAGTGGCAAAATGATGTTGCGAGACGATCGGGATTTGTATGCCAACATTGGATGTCGAGAACAGATACTCGACATGTTTTTGTCGTACCGACCGGCATGGCTCACCATGGCCTTGGAAGTCGTCATGAATGCATCCGTCACGCAAGGACGACCGGGAAATCAATTGGGGCAGCCATTGCCAACGGTAAAGCAATTGAAACACTTTATTGTCGTAAGGGTGCTCTCGGACAGCAAGCTATTGTCCAAGTATACGCAAGGACGTGGGAGTGGAACCCCTTCCGGGAAATTTGAAAAGGAGTATCATGATGAACTGAGACCGCTCGTCTTGTACCGCGTCTTGGTGTTGATTTTCTTTCTTGACCGAGCGGCTGTCAAGTTTCAACCGCATCATCAAAATGGCAATTCCAATCACAGCAACAACTACAACAATCTGGGAAATTTGTTTCATTCCAAATCAAAGGTCCAGTTAAAGTCGACACACCAAGTACTGGTCATGTTTTGTCGAGAGTTCCTGTCGCGCGCTGGAGATGTCATTAAGCAACTGGGACGCGTCAATTTGCATGTTTACTACAAACAAGATCGGCTCGATGAAATCGATTATCCCATTGGCAATTTTGCTATTGATTTGAGAGACGGGGTCCGACTCTGTCGTGTCTTGGAAACGCTATGGATTCTGCCCAAACAGGATCAAACCTACTATGCCAATGCCAACCTGACGAACGGGGGCAAAAACGGTGTTGACGTTAGTGCCAAGTATCCCCTGTTGTCACAACTGCGAATTCCTGCCATTTCCCGATTGCAAAAGATTCACAATGTCAACGTGGCACTGGCTGCGTTGCAAGAGGATTGTCAAATCACTGTACCGACGGAGTTACAAGCACATCATATTGTGGATGGTCAGCGGCGGATGGTGTTGCGAGTGGTGTGGACGATTGTACTTATGCATTGCTTTGAAAACGACAACGAAATCTTGACGCTGGAGAAATTGGAAGCAGAGATTGCGCAGGTTAAAGCAATGAGGAAGCATCAAGATGCCATCCGGGAGAGACGACAACGACAGCAACCATTGAAAGAACATCAATGTCCTTCGTTATCATTGCTGAAGCAGGAGACGGATGCTGTGGAAAGTGTGGCTTTGATGAGCGTCGATGAAACAGTATTGCTACAAAATCGAACACCAAAGCACCCAACAACCTCCCGGGCAATGCCGCTGCTTTCCCAGTCCATGTCGAGGTCGTCTTCTTTCGATGCGGATCAGAGTTTTTCAAGCATCGGTCAACCAGAAGACATGCCCGCGGTTCAACAGTGGAAGATGTTGCTCTTCCAATGGTGTCAAGAAGTCTGTATGCTTGTGGAAGAGCAGGAAAAGGAAGATTACACCCGAACGGGTCAAAAGACACCCATGAAGAAGATCGACATGGGGCAATGGACTGCTGCTGATCTCACCAACGGAAGAGCACTCTGCTGTTTGATTCATCATTACCACCCAACACTACTCACTCTGGAGGACCTACGACAGTCTAGCACCTTTGCTGACGGACCGCCCGCAAAAATCCAGACAACACAAAGCCGTTTTCGTTTCTCCCGGCAGCAGCGGAAATCACCCAAAGCATCTCCTGATTACTTCATGAGGTTGGCGCAAAAACGGTTGGCTGAAATCGGGGGGATCCCACCGATGATGCTCATCCCCCATGGTCGATCAGACGGCAAGAGCCATCGCAAAAAGCATCCATCCTTGCTTCCTTTGGCGGACGAAAAGTCGATTTTGGTGTTCCTGTATCACGTTTGCGCGAGGCTAATGGAGTCGCGTCATCAGGTCTTGGCGGTGGTGTTCGTGCAACAGCGCTATAGGTATCATCAACTGTTGAATCTACTGAGGAGAAAGCAGAGCGCCGCAAAGAGAATATGGGAAGCCTGGTGTGAAAACAAGGAGACATATTATCGAGCGCGGGCCCGGAAATACCGACGATCGGTCCAAATAATTGAAGCTTTCATGGCACAAAACTTTGACAAGTTGCTACTGTTGCAGGAAAACCGTTTGGAACGCGAGCTGCAAAATCTGGCTGTCACGCCTATCCAGGTATGTTTTTTGTATGGCCTGGCCCCGCTGTATCTTGTTTTTTTTTTAAATTCAATAGCTTACGTGCCGACAACTTTGTTTCTTCTTGCTGCACGATCCAGGCTCAGGTGAGGCGAGTTCTTGCCACTAAAAACTACAATATGCTTCTAGAACAGCATGTGGCAGCAATCATCATACAGGCCAAATACAGGCAGTTTCAAGATTACATGTCGTACCAACTGATGTTGTTAGAAAACATTCCGGCTGTTACGACAATTCAACGTCATTGGAGGGGGGTTGTTCAGCGCCGACGGTACGCAGATGTCATTGATGCTATCATCTTGATTCAATCGGTTGTAAGAGGAGCAGTCTTGGTGAGGAGAGTTCGGATGGGCCCTTGGCGAGACTCTGCTATATGCATTCAACGTATCTGGAGAGGTTTCTGTCAACAGCTGAAGTACCAAATGGAGATGTTGGACATCATTTCAGTGCAATGCACTGTTCGAAAACACCTGGCAATAACACAGGCGAAAAAGAGTTACCATGCTTTATCGGTCGTGCAACGGATTTCAAGAGGATTCTTGGCACGACTTGACTGCGAGGGGTTACGTCAAGCGCTTGGCGCCGCAGTCATTATTCAGGTAATCCCGAGTCTCAGAATTCATTGCCGCCGTTTCTGTGACCACATCTTACCTTCCTCCTTGCACCAATCAACAGAAAATGTGCCGCCAGTTCCTTGCGAAACTAGAATTTGAGAGACTTGTTCGATGCAGGGTAGCACTTGTTCTGCAAAGATCATGGCGGAGGTGGATCTTTCTTCGTGATAGAATCGACGGTTCGATGAGGATTCAAACTCGTTACCGTGCATGGCTTGAATGCCGAAAGTACTCTTCCACGCGATTCGTCGCCTTGAGGGTTCAGTCGGCCTGGAGGCAACGCGCCAAACGAAAGGCCTACCTCGTGCTCCGGGCAGGTGTCATCTTGATCCAAAGCACATTCCGTCGATGGTACCATGGAGTTGTGAAGGTGGCCGAACGAAAGAGAGCATTGTCGACTCTACAGAAGAATGCTCGACGATTTCTTGCGCAGTGTCTGCTAGGGGCAATGAAGAAGGTGGCTCAACGAAAGAGAGCATTGTTGACTCTACAGAAGAATGCTCGACGATTTCTTGCGCAGTGTCTGCTAGGGGCAATGAAGAAGGAGGCTCAACGAAAGATAGCATTGTCGACTCTCCAGAAGAATGCTCGGCGATTTCTTGCGCAGTGTCTGCTCGTGGCAATGAAGAAGTACCGAGACCAGCTGTTAGCAAGTGCCATATTCTGCCAGGTGCGTATACTCCTTCTTCGTGTAGGATTGAGTTGTTCGTGGTTTGATCTGACCTCGTTCCTTTCCCTTCATCACAGGCTCTCGCTCGCCGAAATTCTTGTGCAAGAATTTGGACGAGAACGAGGAAAGCTATTGTTTGCATCCAGAGCAGATGGCGGGGTTACAGCTGCTTCCGAGTCTCTCGTCGACGCAACCAACTGTTGGGAGCGCTAGCGAGCTGCGCACTCCTTTACCGTCGCGAGCAAAAGGGATCGTTTAAGATTGTTCCACACACGAGACATGTGATCCAGCTAAGCAAGCAGACTCAAATTCGGTGCGGGCAAAAACGAATTGTACTGACGAACGCTTCTACTTGGGCGCCTCCGTGGCGAGGACATCGGCAAGAACTTTTCCGGCACAGAAATCATGTTAAGGCTGTGCGTGCTAAATTTGAAGCCGGGATCCAACTCACCGAACTTCCAAGGCGAAGGATCGGACCGAGGACACTTCGATTGGTCAACGAAGCCGCTGCTCGTTTGCAAGCACCTTGGGTGTACTATACCGAGAGCGGAGCCGTCTCTATGAGAAACATGCGCCAAGATCTTTTGACGAAAAAAGAAAGCCACCATCAATCTCGTCGCTTGTCTCGCGCAAAGCGAGGGTTATCGCGATCTGTCCAGTCACTGCTGAGACCCGGGACCAGTGTTCAAGGCGAACGTGTGGACCCATCCGTTCTTTGCACCGTGAGACGACTTCACTCTGCGAGATCGGGAGGTTCAAGCCCGAGAGTCATTCAACGAAGGCGGGAAGATGTGAACGTTGCCCGTCTTCTGAACCTTGTTCGTCGACATTACGTAGTGTCATCGGCGCAAAGAGGTGGTGGCACGAGCATTGAATTGCACAATTTGTTCGATCCATTTCGAGAAAAGGCTCTATTGACCGTTGCAGCCACTTCAGTCCAACACGCTTGGCGAAGGCTTCGTGCTAGGCGTCAGTTACAACGTTCCATCCGCAGTATTATTGTTATCCAGAGTGCCGCCAGACGAAGAACTGTCGTGAGAAGGACAAGGCAGATGCGTGCAGCAATTGTTACGATCCAAGCGGCGAGAAAGGGTTTTCTCGCTCGTCGCCATTTGACGGGTATGGACGAAAAAGCCAAAACCATCCAAAAGCTTTGGCGGAGCCATATTGCTCTGTCCAGATTCAAGACTATCATTCGCAGAATCAAGATGCTGCAAAGCCTGAGCAGGCGCAGAGTTGCCAAACAGGAGGTGGCCAAGAGGCGATTAGCCATTGTCTGTATTCAGAAGGCTGTGAGGTGCGGGTTAGCTCGCAGCACTGTGCAAGTTTTGAGGGGTGTTAAGAACAGGGCGACAAGAGCAGCCAATCGCGCGGCTTCTTTGACGCAATCAACCACGAGGGGATTCTTGGTGCGGAGAGAGATTTCATTGCGTCGAGCATCTACTGTCGCCGTTCAAAAGGTTGTCAGAACATTCTTGGCAAGGCTAGCGTATCATGCCGCCCGCGGCAACATTGTTAAAATTCAAAAGAATGCCCGAGCCTTTGTTGCAAAGAGGGCGTTGCAGTTGGCCATCAATCGCATCACAACAGTGCAAACAGTGGCGCGAAGGTGGATCGCACTCAGGAGAGTTCAGACAATCAAGATAGCAGCCCACGCAGATGCAGCAATGCGAAGTGAATGTGCACTTATGATTCAAAAGACTTTCAGAGGCTTTTCGGACCGTTCCGATTTCATGTTCGCCTTGCATTGTCTGGTGAAGATCCAGTCGTGGTGGCGTTCTCTGCAGCAGCGAAGGTGCTATGAGGGCATCGTCGGTGGGACAACCGCCCTCCAGTCATTGGTACGTGGCGCGATCACCAGAAGTCGTATGGAGAGACTGAGGCGACAACGAGAGACCTCTTTGCTCAGCTTGCAAACCCGAAAGGCTCGGGCAGTTGTGACCACACAACGTTTTGTCCGTGGCTTTTTGGCGAGACAGCAGATCAGTCTGGAGCACTTTGCTGCCACGGCAATCCAAAGAACATGGCGATGCTATGCCGACTCGACTGGCTACATCTTCGTCGTTGTTTCGGCCATCAAAATGCAATCAATCTTTCGAATGGCGCTGGCAAAGAAGCAACGAAAAGAGCTTTTGAGTCAGATTTTTCGTATTCACGAATCTGCGATTGCGATTCAGAGCGGGTGGCGTATGCTAGCTGCCAAGGTCCTTTCCGCCAAATTGGCGAAGGCCACGGAAGCAAAGCAACAGGTCGCCGCATTGACCATCCAGTGTTTCATTCGGATGCGTCTTGCAAGCAGCGAGTTCTCTCAACAATCATCGTCCGTGTCGGTTCCACCTACCGATGCCGTCTTTCATCGCCGCCTATCCTTGTCTCAAGGAGTGGTTCGCGGTTGGCTGGCTAGAAGGAATTCCAACGCCCAAGTCCGAAAGTCTATAACACTCATCAAGGAAGCTGAACTGCGGTCGAGACTGCAGCCTAGCATGCGGTTAGGAGCCCGGATGGACCGCGCCCTAAGTGTCCTGAAGACTTCCTGCAGTCTCACGGAAATAATGAACATTGTTTGCACCATTGAGTTGGCTACTCGATTCAGTAAAGAATGTTGCGCCGAGTTCTGCGCTGCTGAAGCCACAGAGACGTTGGTGGCTTTGCTGTTCTCTTGCAACAAGAGTTTGCCGCACGTGGAACTCCTCTACTACATCATGTGCACACTGCTCAATGTGTGCAAGCACAAGTCTCTCACTCAGCATGTTGCCACAGTGGAAACAGCCGAAGCCTTTTTGTATCTGATTCGTATGTATGGATCAGAAGATGCCGTTTTTTGCAGCGCCGTGGCACTGTTGGATGTTTGTATGCGTTCGAATAACAATGTCCGTGCTCTTGTGGCAGCACCACCCTGCAAGAAACGAATGGAGGGGATTTACAAACAGAGGGTACGAAAGCTTCGTAATCGGGTGGCCCCCTGTCAAAATACCACGACGCCGCAGTTTTTGGTTAAGCAAAACAAAGCCAAGACGGACATGCTCATATTGGGAATCTCGTATGACTTGGAAAGGGGCGTTTCTGTCTTGGAGCAGGTTCTCCTTCGAACATTGTGAGAAAATGATAAGAGGGTGTTTACTGAAGGTGCAACACGCAAGACATTGTTGTTTTGTTTTGTACGCAGTATACGATTTTGTTGTTTAGAGGAGGAACGAACCTGCTACCGGTATACTCAATATCGGGACGGTACATACCGTATAACAACGAGAGACACAACATATATCGCTAGAGTGGCATAAAGAATAAGTGGAATGATGATCAGTACGGTATGGTAGCAACGAGACTCAAGATAGATCGCTACATAAACTAAAAGCAAAGTTTAAAAATGGAGTGATCATCGTCACCAGTCCGGTACCATACCTTTCTGATGTGGTGATATAGAGACCAGTCTACTTTTGCGTCGCAAACGCTCGAATCTCAATCAATCCTCACGCCTCGATGTCGGCGGGCCGTGCACGTCAGTCGGTTTCGCTGCTGGCGGATGCCGGACCAAGTTCTGACTGTGCCATTGCCCAAACATTGTCAACATCATGGATTCCCATTTCTTTGTCACGGTGGCCCTGCTCAGAGGGGCTCTGTTTTGACGACCACTCTAACAGACACAAGAACTTCCTCCTCTTCTTATTGCGCCGTTTGCCAGTTGCATGAAATGCTTTCTCAGCGTCACTGCTTCGTCCTGCGCTTCAGCTTTTTCTTCTTGAGTTTCTTGGTAGTGGATTGCTGGACACCATCAGTGTCTTCGCTTTTGCTTCCTTGCTCCCCCCGCAAGGCCTTGTGAATTGAGACCAACTTCGGCCAAGACATCTCCCATCGGGTGCATCCGCTTCCGTTTCCCCCCTTTCTTGGAGATGGCGGCTGAATTGGCCGTCTTCTCTCGAGAAGAAGCGGAAGTGGTTGTCTCATTACGAACTAGTCTTTTGCGTTTGTTCTTTGAAGAGTTGTCGTCTTTACTTCCCGCGTTGCTGACTGGATCGCTTTCATTCCGTTCCGCTCTCAGAGGAGGGGCAACAAGAGCCGTCCTGTTGCTCCAGACGAACCCAATCTTGTCGAGCTTTTGTTTGCGGTCCCCACGCAAAGTGCCTGCCTTTTCAAGTTCACGTTGCCTTGAAGCCCACTTGTTCAGTGTCTTGCCTTCCGGTGTTGACAGAGCAACCACCAGCGTGCCATGTTTCTGTTTGTACTCCACAAGCTTTTGCAGAGATTCCTCCCACGCTCGCTCCTTCCTTTCCTTGTCAGTCTCCCAAACAAAGTTTAGGTCGTTCAACTTGGCTTCCTTTTCCTCCGAGAGCTGTCCCTCAGCTCTCTTCTTTCGTAGGGAAGATATCCAACTTCCCAAGTCCTTGTGGTAGGACGGAACCTTGGAGTGCTTGTGCCGATTGAAGTATTCTACCAACTTCGCGTACTTTTTGTTCCAGCTTTCGGTGCTGACCCAAATAAAGCCGAGGTTGTCGAGTAGCTTCTTTCTGTCCTCTTTGAGCTCTCCTGACCTGGACCCACGCACCAACCTTCGATGCCATGTAACCCAAGTGGCCAGCTCCTTGTCGGGCTCGTATTCCATTGGCACGTCGCAATCGCCATGACGGTCCTTGTATTCGACGAGCCGAGAGTACATTGTGGACCACTTGTCTTCCAGGGCGTTCCAAACAAAGCCTAGTTTGTCGAGCTTATTGATGCGGTCTGGAGTGAGAATGCCCTTGATCTTGCAATTGGGGCCCTTTCTTAAACATCGCTGACGTAGAACCCATTTTCCAAGATGGCGGTTGGAGGAAGGGACCAGACAATGACCATGTTGACGATGAAACGAAACCAGCTCCTCGTACTTGGTCTGCCACAGCTCTTCGGATAAATCTTTGGCGAACCCCAACAACTCAAGTTGCTCTGCTCGCTTCTTGTCCATTGTTCCAGCAGATAAAGTTGTCCTCTGCTGAAAGACCCACCTAGCCAACTCTCGGTCTGGGTTGTTTCTTCCACAGTGGGTATGACCATGTTTTTGTCGATAGGCGACAAGGCGATCAAACATTGAATCCCATTGGTGTTGCTTCAAGCTGGTTTCAGCATTGCAGTTGTTGAACCCCAACGACTCTAGACGCTCTGCTTGCCTCTCATCCATGGTTCCAGCAGATAGTGCCGTCTCTGCTGAAACACCCAATTCGCCAACTCTCGGTCCGGGTCTCGTTTTCCACAGTGGGTATGACCATGTTTTTGTCGATAGGTGACAAGGCGATCAAACATTGCATCCCATTGGTGTTGCTTCAGGCTGGTTTCAGTAGTGCAGTGATCCGCCAAATCAAAGAAAAATCCAATGTCACCCAGTCTCTCCTTACGGTCTTCTCGTAGAGTGTCGCTGTGGTACTGATTCGTCTGTCGACGCACCCAACGCATCAATGTGCCATCTGGGTGATCTGGCTGAACCATGGTATGACCATGAGCTTCCTTAAAGAGCTTCAATTCTTCAAACTGAACGTCCCAGTTGTCGTCGTTATCGGTATCTTCCGATCGTCTATTCGACCCAATCTTTTTGGGATCTCTGACCCACAAGAATCCAAAGTCTTCTAGACGTCTCTTCCGATCCTCTCGAATAAGACCTTGTCGATACTTGGTTTGTTGATTGCCTACCCATTGTCTCAGAGTCAGATCATCCCCAAAGAATCCTGGCTCTGCCATGGAAACGCCTATTCGCTCGCCGCAGTATTGCTTGAGTCGATGAAACATTTCGTCCCACTGTTTGTCATGTTTGCTGTGATTGGTCTCCCAGTTGAATTGAACCGAATCCAGCTGATCTCGCTGCTTTTGTGTCAGCCTGTCCTTGGCATATCGTTGGTTACATACCCACTTGCCAAGGCGTGGCCAGCCAGAGGGAACATTGGTGTGCTTGTGCTTCTCGAAGAATTCCCGCAACTCTACAAAGGACTCGTCCCATGAAGGTTTTTTTGATGCAGCCTCTGAATCATTCGAATCTGCACTGGAGTCCCCTGGCGCCGCCTTAAGCTCATCTTCTTCGAGTCCAGTACTACATGTAGCATCCATCGTTCAAAAATTTACTGTCAAGAGCGGCGAGTGAAAGACACAAAGATTCTGGACACCAACTAAGCTGCTGAAGCAATGAATCGAATCCTCAACTTGTCTTCAAGGCGAGAGAATTCAGAATCTGAGTGGTAGACTAGTAGTCTAGACCTAATGATCTAGACTAATCTCTTGTGCTTCCCTTCGTTGCTGGATAATGAAAGGTCTGGTGACTTTGGACCATCTCAAAAAAGGCGCGAACGAAAAAGTTTTGAAGTTTCAAAAATGAGGCCAGATTGTAAGCTCGCAAGGCTGTTAGAACATATGAACCTCTAGATACGGTACCGAAGGACGCACAGCAGTGACACTGCACCATTGCTAGTAGTCAAGTTTTCACATACATTTCTTCGTGAGCCCTGGTAGTTTCCATCTTCAGAGGCGAGAGAGATAACAGTAAGTACTTGCACTTCTTGAATGAAGATACAGCGCACTAGCTATTATGCATACCGGTACATACGGTACATGTAATGGAGGATTCTATTTTACAGTCAGTCAAAATTTGTGCTGCCAGGACACAACCTCATGGCCCTCCTCACCATGCAAACAAGGAGGTTCGGACGGATTTGAGCTTTAAGGACTTGGTGCGGAGGAACCTGCTGCCCTTGCTTTGTTTCTTGAACGTTCTTGACACGCCAAAGCTCTTACTAGTATCTTGTTCCTTGTAGACTTTCTTTGCGTCTTTTTCATCTTGTTTTGCCAGTCGTCTGGCTCTGGCTTGGTCGTCCTCGGTATAAGTTCTTGCCAGTTGAGAGAGAGCCTCTTCCTTATGCTTCTGCTGATGCAGTAGACTCTGAGTAGTAAAGAATGAATCGAAGAAAGCTTCTCTGCGGTGGGTACCCTCGTAGGGCGCCGTCAACATTTGCTCGAGACCTCGAAGCAACTCGTAGTCAGGATTTTTGCCAACCTTCAGTTCTATAAGGGTGGATCGAATGGATAGCATCACGTCACGGTACTCCTGTGCAGAGTAGAACATGGCATTGCATTCCAGCTCTGACAAAGTACCCGCCCGATTGGGGTAGCTTCTTGGGACGTCTGGGCTAAAGCGAACGCGACGCTCGTCAACGACGACATTACTGGTTTGATGGATTGGTTGAGTGCTTGTCATGGTTTTGTGTCCTTGTTTTGTGGGCTCTTGCTTTGTAGTTTCCTTCGGTGTTGCCTTTCGAGAAAAATATTTGTGAGCCAAGTCCATACTCCCTGCAAGACGGGGAGGGAGTACTAGCTAGTACGGAACGAGTGGATCTCTTCCTTCAACCGGACATCCTATGGCCCACCCCGAAGAACCGAGAGGATTCACTGGGTGTTTGCGTGTTTTAGTGTTTCAAGTTGATAGAGTTGCGAGTTGCGAGTTGCGAGGAATGGGCTCTTGGAGCACTTCCTTTGGTCAAACTGCACGTTTTGAGTTGATCTTCCATTTTGAGTCATGTTATTGATTGAATTGAATCATTCCAGAAAGCTTCCAGGCACGCTACTAGTTAGTTTAGCTAGCTAGTAGTTTCTTCTTCTGTAATTATTCCATTTGCAGTCATGTTCCAAAAGAAAGAAAATAAATTGAGAGCTGACAATTGGGGAAATAGGCATTCCCGCAACTCCAATGTCTCACTGACATCTCATTCACGCCAGGGATCCCAAATTGCCAGACTACGGTACAGCTGCTGGTGCTGGCTCCGTTTGTTGCCCGCGACCTCTACCGTACGTCCGTACGTACTGGTGGCGAGCTAGTAGTACTGGTACCTGGTCATTTAGTTGGCACCATCTTCAAAATCAGACCGCGCAGTTCGATTTTGCATTGTTGAGTTCGCCTTCAACAAAATGCCTCCCTGGACTGGTTGGCACCTTCAGGAGATTGGTCATTATTATCATTGACTAAGACACTAAGACATACCCAAACAGTCAGCTCTCAGTGTCACACCTGCAGATGTGCAGATGATACAGTTAAGAGGGAAGATTCGCATTTGTCTCGTCTGCCTGAACTTGGGAGAGTCATATCATCAGAGTCACAGAGCTGTCACATGGCACAGCAACCGGGGAAAGGAAAGATAGGTTTCGGCGCAGAGCTGCGAGGCGCCTTTTTGCAGGTTGCTCTCATCTACTTTCCACTTTCATATTTCCGTGCAAGCCCCAAAAGGACAAACTGGCAGCTTCAATACCATCTGTTGAGTGGTCCAGTCATCCAATCCACTGCATTGGGGCATCAGAATGGGACCTACAACCGAACACCAACTTCGGGTCCTGTGCCTGAATCAGATCTGTTCTCGTGATAGTGACAGCCGTGCTGGTGTGTTTGTAGTATCTTCGGTTGCAGTAAGGAGGATGCATTGCAAGAATAGTTGATCCTGAAGCCCCGAGAATTGCTGTCAAGCAACAAGCTACAACTGAGCCATGAAAGACGTGCAGATCTGGTATAGGGAGTCATAATTCCCCACCAAAACAGCAGAATTGACATGTGTCTTGCTTGAAATACATGTAGTATGTAGGGGGCAGTTTGTCAACTGGCTGAGAAGAGGCTGTGCCAGTTGCCTTCAGCCGCACCTCAGGGCAGTCTTAGCATGCATGTTACTCAGTACTTTTTCTAGCCGTACTTTGAGCAGTGGCCTCACAGGGCGTACTCAGAAGGATCCGTCCCTAGCAACTGTCCATCTTGAATCTAGCAACGTGAACGTTCTAAGCTTGACCTTTCCCAGCTAGTACCATGCATGATTTTAGTGTTTAATGTGTGCATTATCATGAATGTTTTTACATGCATTATCAAAAGTAGAGTCATGTCTCTATCTATCTAGCAAGCTTTCGCTGATTCTTGTGGTTTGACTGTTTGACTTAGGCAGCTAGAGCCCTGTGGCCATGACCCAAACTTCGCGTGGATAATGGTCGGAATCCTCGCACCAAGGTTCGCAACAACGATTTTCTCTTGGCTTTGCTACCGTCCTCCCATTTGATATTGTCTTCCTTGTATACTTTTCGTGCGGCGGATTCGTCTTGTTTGGCCAACTTGACTGCCTCCTTGACATCTGATTTGCTTCTTGAAGACAAGTAGTCCGAGAGACACACGTCTAGCTCAACGACTCCGCGTTGCTTGAGCTTGCCTTGTAGTATCCAGAAATCGGCAAAGAAGTTCTCTCTTTGCTCGGCATACCTTCGCGTCACGACTATTCGTTCCAAACCACGCATACAAATACCATATTTCTTGATATCCTTGCGATCGGCCATGAGTGCGAACTGACACTCGTCTTTCATGCGGAGCAAATCTTGTTGATTGTAGTACAACGAGCCTCGTTCTTTTTCCGTGACAAAATCATTATTCTCCCCGTCTCGAGTCTGATGATGAACCACTGGTTGTTCTTCTGAAAACCGAACGGAGCGGTCCTTACTGCTGTTGCTGAGGCTTGATGGGGTGCGGACCGTCATGGTGGATGTGCTGGTGTTGGAGTTTTTGTGTGATGATCCTCTTTGGATACCTCTCATGATATTATCTTGGAAGTAGTTCTCGTGGCGCTGGTTGCGGCTTTCTCTCTGCTTCGCTTTTGGATTGGATTGTGAGGGAGCCGTCGATGATCTGTAGCTTGGATATGAAAGTGGGCTTGACCAGTTCTATCTTGCTATCTTCTATCTGCATTGCTGCTGGGGCTGGAGAAGGGAAACTGTGCTCTGTCATCCCCCTCACAGAAGGGCATCGCAGAAGCAGCTGCAGCAGCGCTGCTGGGTAGCGATCGCGCGTTGCACGTGAACCCATCACTACTCTCCGTAGCAGTGTCTTAGATCCTTGTTTCTGGCTATAACTAGTGAGATCTACTTGGAAGGATCTTGGAAGTACCAGGCTGTACCAGCAACTAATTCGGGGCAACAACGATAAATGAAATATGGTGAAAGGTCACCAAAACGGACTAACAGGCCTAGGTAGAAGCTGTTATTTAAAATTGAGAATTATCACTTTCATTTATCGTAAGCTGGCAAGCTCTCGGTGTTAACAGGCAATTAAAGCTTGGGCGTAGTGCTTCAACAGAGTGATAAATGTGGGCACATGTCCTATCGAAAAACTCGTGACTCTTAAGTGGGTTAGGTACCGTCACGGCTCAAAACTGCCCACAAGGCCACACTGATGTACCGTACTGCCGTTCTGTATGAAAGATACGGTAAACTGTAAACAGTAAACAGAGGTAATGAACCTTCTCTCCAAAACTCCAAAACCTGAATGTAAGAAACTCCAAATAAGAAGGCGAGTACTCAGATTTTAGAAATAGATAAGAATTTCTTGATACTGATACACTGTACCACAGACTTGTAAGAAAACTTCCCAGTATTGAGACCTCAAATCACAAGAAATACTGCCAGTCTGACACCATGAAAATGCTCCAAACTTGGGCCTAGATCTGCAAAAAGTCCCAGATATGAATGGGCAGGGTTGGAACCATCCTTCAGGTTAACGGCCCGATGCTCAGCCAATTGAGCTACCGTACCGTACCAGGGCCAAGACTGGGAATCGAACTCAGATCGCCACATTCCAAATGAGGCATACTACTATTGTAATATCTCGGCAAGAAGGAGCTGCTTGGATTGACACAAGCTGTGAGATGCAGGGTGGAATTGAACCACCGGTCTTCTGATCTGCAGGCAGATGCTTTGCCACTTAGCTACTGCATCATGCTCCTTTCCTCTTGTTTGTTTGCTTGGAAGTGTCGGCCCTATAAAAGTCCAGTTCCGTGGAGGTCTTCGTTATTGAGAGGATGGAAGGATTCGATTCAGACCCGCATTGCGAGCCACGTCTCATTTGTTTAGCGCTAACTCTATTCAACTCCCCCTTTCTATCTCAACCAACCCCTAGCGATAAGATTGCTCGTATATCAATGTTTAGGCGAAGTCACAGCTAGTAGCAAGACACAAGCTTCTACATACTGGTACATGACACACCATTCCGTCAAGGTTGTAATGATGCTACTAGCACTTTATGACCCATCTGTTTTCTTGATTCCTAAAAACTCCCACACGGCATCTAGTCCATCTGCAGGGGAAGACGACTTGTCGATGCCCTCCAGAGAAGGTGCATCTTCTTCTTCCGTGGAGCTCTTGGCATCCAGCAACAACTCTGCTTCCTTGATGTAGTCTGGTGGATTGTAAAGTTCGTAGATATCCTTGAGATCTCCCAGGTATTCCGAAAAGTCCACATTTAAATTCTGCAGGTATCCAGTCTGCAAAAGAAAAAGGATTGAATGATATCCATGTGTGACTTTGTGAGACACAGATTCCAGATAAGCATAATGTGTTTTTATTTGCAACCCATGACCAGTCGCCAAATTGATCGAGGAGCTTACCATTGGATCATAGACCAGAGCATGAATGCGTGGCGCCGGAAAGTTGCATTCCGGATCCAAAAATGTGTCTATCCGTGTCTTTTGAATGACTTCTGTCTTGAACAAATTGACGCATTGTTCGATCACATTGAGTTCTACGAATCTTCGATGTCGTTTCTCGGGATCCTCAATTCCATTGAGTTCTTCTTTGTGCGTCCGATACACATCTTTAATGTTGCGTAACCACAGGGACAGTGGTGCCCCGACATTGGCCTTGTTCATGGCCGCGCGGATCCCGCCACAATCGTAATGGCCACAAACGATAATGTGCTTGACACCCAACGTGGTGACGGCAAATTGCAGGGCGGATAAAAGATTGACGTCGGTACTGACAACCATGTTGGCGACATTTCGAACGACAAAGATGGATCCTGGCTTTTCACCACACAATTCATTGGAGGGAACACGAGCATCGGCACAACCAATCCACATATACTAATAAAGTATGTGTTTTTGGAATGGAAGAGAGGAAACGAGATATCATTAGTCAGTTTGTCCGTATTGACGTGATGTGATCCAATAAGAACGATTCAATCAGTATGATAAATAGTATTTGTAGGTACCAGTATGTACGCACCTTGGGTTCATGCTTGCTACCCAGTCCATCAAAGAATTCCTGACCAATGGCTTCGACGAATTTCTTGTTTTGTTCTAGAATATTGTTGATATCTCGATTCTTCATGGCATATTCCGATCCATCATTGTACTCGGGCATTTCAAAGAACAGCCGGCTGCTGCTAGCAAGATACCGGTAGGCTGAGATTGGATGGTTCCATTGCGGAACTTTCGGAACAAAGGCACAGCTAACAGCAATAAACGGCAGTAACAGAAGCAGCAGCTTCACGAAACCTCCTGCGGTCACGCATGGCTTCTTTGCCAGCAGTATCATCTCTTTTGTGCTTGCTGATGAGATGCCACTACGATCTTTGCCAAGAGTGTATCTTTGAGCCGTTGTGGATTTGACATCAGCCGGAGGTAAGCCGTCAAGGCTATGAATCTTTTATCTTCCGGAACATGTTTTGGGACCAGTGTAAAAATGGATGAGTCATTGGAGGGATCGGTGACACCATTGTTCTGCTGGGGAAGCCCTCAAGAATACGAATGACAACGTGGTTAGGTCGCAAGAGCATCATTGGTCAAGCAAAGAAGAATCTTTCGGAAAAGCGAAGAGGTATTGTCATACATGTACATGTAACTCTTGGTTTTGATTGCTGATGAAATGGCAGACATGCTAGCTACGGTAGCCTGGCATAGTACCACAAACACAAAAAGAATGAAAGAACGAAAGCATTCGAAAATGAAAGCAACGATGAGATTCAGACGAGTAGAAACACCGATACCGATCGTCCTCTTGACGGCATGCATTCTGTTGACACTACAACAGCAGCCATGTCATGGCTTTTCTTCTTGTAGTGTCAATCTGTTCAATCGGCCACAAAACATCTTTGTTCCTACACAGGCCAAGAAATGGATTCCTCACTGGTTATCACCGTTTTCCAGACAGAACTACACCATCACGGTATCATCCAGCGATGTTAAGGTAGACCTGCTGCAGTCGAGTTTTACGTTTGCATTTCCCACGCTCCGATCCAAATTGGAATTCCCCAAGGTCGAGTTCCCGTCGGCGTTGATTCAAGATGCCCACGAAGAGTATCTACGACGACATCAGATTGTCAAGAAACGACGGGTCTTGCAACGATTGTTGGAAATCAACAGTATTCTCGCTGGTCAAATCATGCGTCCTCTGCTGTGCAGTCTGGTCACCACCAAGCCAGACTTGTCGACGATTCACATTCCCACCGATGAAGATTGGGAGGCCTTTTGGAGTCACCAACGGGCAGGGACACGGCGCAACCTGACCAATGCGGAACGTGTGGCACAGGGAGTCCCCGTGTTGGGTCCCACGTTTGTGAAGCTGGCTCAAATCTTAGCCACGAGGCCTGATATACTTCCGGTGCCACTAGCTGAAGCATTGGGTAGTCTCCAGGATCAAATGCCACCCTTTGACAATTTGGTCGCCAAACGCATGATCCGGACCGATATGAATACGGTACTATTCAGTCGCAATAGTGATGACATGATTCCACATTCCTACATGCAGTCCAAAGACGATGTCAATGACTTTATGGAATCACTCTCTGAAAAACCACTTGCGGCTGCCAGTGTGGCACAAGTCTACAAGGGATACTTGGACGGATTCGGACCTGTGGCGGTCAAGGTATTGAGGCCTGGCTGTCAACGCAAGGTCGAACACGATGCCACACTCTTTCATTCCGTGGCCACATGGGTCGAACGGATGAGCAACAACACCATGAAGCTGCCGGGCGCACAACGGCTTGATATCGGTTCCATTCGGTTGGTACAAGCGGTCGATGAGTTCACGTCGCGCGTGTTGGAGGATATAGACTTTACGCGGGAGGTCGAAAACATGAAGGCTTTTGCTGCACTCTACGATGCGCGCAGCGGAACATCGCCCACGGTCAAAGTAGTGGTACCCAAGGTGATTCCAGAACTCTCCAGCAACCGTGTCATTGTCATGGAGTGGTTGGAAGGAACCAGGTTGACGGAGGTCTGCACGGATTGCGACGATGGGCCCAGTCAACAAAAAGAGAACCTGGACTTGATTGTGCAGGCTATTGAAATGACCGTGTCGCAATTGATTGATCATGGACTGCTACATGGAGACCCGCATCTTGGCAATGTATTGAAAGTGCGAAACCCAAAGACGGGCAAGCCAGAGCTAGGATACTTGGATTTTGGTTTGGTGTCGTATGTCCCTCAAAAGTTTCGAGATGCCATTGTCATTGCGGTGGTGCAATTGGTCTTTGCCCGCAACATTGAAGCAGTTGCTGATCTTTGTGTAGATTTGGGCTTGCTACCAGAGGAGACGTTGCAAGATGCAGGAGAACGACAACGATTCTTCAAAGCAGTCAAAGGTGCCTTGCAAGAAGTACTGATTTGGCCCAAGGATACAGAAGGCATGTCGACTGCGGTGCCAGTGATTCGGTTTGAAAATCTCTTGCCTGCCTTTAGTGATTTGATCCGGTCATTTGAGTTCACCGTACCGCCCTACTTTCTCAACAACATTCGAGCATTGGCGACGCTGGAGGGGATGGCACTGAAACTCGATCCCAACTTTAATGTGTTTCGAGTCATCTATCCCTATTCCATCAACCGATTGATGCGCAATCCTGCAGTTAGTAAACGTGTCCAAGAAACCTTTGTGGAGATATGTCGGTCTCCCGACACGCAGCTGATATCACCTAAACGTGTTCGCATGTTGCTGAATGATTGGGCGTTGTGGACGGGCTACCGCAAGCGGAGGATTGCCTGGGACTTGTTTATATGCGCGGGAGGAAGAAGGGTGACACCTGTCATCTTGCACAACTGGCTGTTGAACCGAGTTCGCAATGCCAAGAATCTAGCACGGCACAGTCAACGAGTTGTGGTTCGAGGTTGTAATAAAGTGGTGGATCTGTTGCCGCTGGTGGGGGCAAGACAAGAAAACATGATCTACTAGAGAACTGAGAGCACTGGCACTAGCTAGCTAGTATATTGTAGTAAGCCTATTTTAAAAACAACGTGCCATTGCAACGAGCCGAGAGGAGTAGAGGGTAAAAGACGCACCTGGCAACGGCAAGTGCATGTCCAATACGATTGTTGGTGCCTGTTGTGGCTTCGGTGGCAAACTTACTTGAGGTGGACACCACAACATGCACGGAGCGGACGTGCAGGTTTTTGGTCGCGGAGAAGGTTTTTCGTTACGGTGCAGGTTTTTGGTTACGTTACATTTTGAAAGGGCAGGTGCACGGCGCAACCTGACCAATGCAAAACGTGTGGCGCAAGGAGTACTGTACCGGTACCCGTCTTGGGGCCCACCTTTGTCAAGTTGGCCACTCGCTCCCCGCCCCGTGCCCTTGACCGAAGCATTGGGTAGTCTCCAGGATCAAATGCCCCCCTTTGACAATTTGGTTGCCAAACGCATGATCCAAACGGATATGAATACGGTACGTTTCAGTCACAATAGTGATGACCTGATTCCCCATTCCTACATGCAGTCCAAAGAAGATGTCAATACCTTTATGGAGTCACTCTCCGAAAATCCACTTGCCCCTGGGCTGCCGCCTGCCCGTACGTTCAAGAAGTACGCAACGAAATATTCGTGAATTTCAGGTTTTTTGGTGAACCTCAACAGCCGTGAACTTTGAACCACGAAAACACATTGCAAGGGCGCAATGCAAAGTCTCTCCAATAAGAGGCACCAACGCAAGAAGGCATGAACAACCCCCAAGCTCTACCAGGTACCGATGGCAGTGAACGCGCGGAGTACCTTCCTGAGGAGTGGTTTGAACTAGAATCAGAATTCCTGGCGAAGTATCGCACGTACTGCTCAGACGAAGGGTTTAGAAACGTTTTTGATACGAAGGACGAAGCAAATGCCGAGGACAACGAAGGCGACGAAGAGGACAGCGGAGGGGAAGATTTCGACGAAAGATTCTACTATGACAATTCGATGGGCTTGTCGAAGTCGGTGATCTACGATCCCCCACTCTTTGATAGGACCGATCTCTTCCACCCCCTGCACGACCGCGACTTTCGCATCTCACATGCCTCGCGTGTCGTGTTGGGGTCTTACAAGTCCATAGCAATGATGCCAGGTTTAATGAGAGCCTTGGGCAACCAAGTGGATCCGCTTGCCAGTGAGATCCTGTCCAGGATCCAGGACAATCGTAAGCGCCATCCTGGCGTGCGCAACGCCCTCAAGTCAGCAGTCACTCTCGAGGCGAGATTAGCAGGCATCCAAAAGGACTCGGCCCCTAAGCGTGTGGTCACAGTTTCGGGGAATACGCCACTTGCTGTCCTACACGACCGAGTCCTTTGTCCCGTGTTTGGATGGACACGGGGATACCACGACTATCGCTTTGCCATCCCTCCCGCAGGATATTCTCCGTATGAGCCTCCCAAGTTCGCCATTTTGGAGATCCTGTTTGGGCCGGAGTTTCGAAGACCTTCTTTGATCGGCCGCCATGGCTTCTATGGAACGCTCCGCTCAATTGATGTCCTGGCTTCTATCCCCGATGCGAAAGTGTGTGTGGCTGATCTACTCTATTCGAAAGGCAAGGAGCTGTGGCATGTTCTGGGTGGAAGCAGTAGTGGATGGAAGACAGTCCTTACGGTTGACACCATTACACCCAGTAACACAGAGAGTGCAAAAGGATCCCGACTCCCTATGGTTTTAAGTGGGGAAGGCCCAAATGTCCCTGAAACTATAGTGCTTTCCTTTGGTTCCGAATACGACGACTATGATTGCGGTGGGCCTCAAGCTTTCACCCTCGGCTGTGAAATGCTACGACTATCAAATGAGTCGTCAGAGAACGCATGGCTGAAAGACTGGTTACTTCAAGAGGTCGGCTCATCCGTACAGGAGGCAGACTTTGCCCTGACTGAACAGTTTGACATTCAAGCGGCGACGAGGGCATTGCGACAAGCCCAACGGGGCGACCGATCTTACAACCCCGAAAATTCTAGAATGTGGATGCATCATCTGTTTGGAAATGCCTCGTCAGTTTTCCCTCCCGGCACGGAAATGTCGAAGTCAGGAAACCTCATGGTTCCAGGCGGTGCCTGCAACACATGCTACAAAACAGGCGAGCAGCTTCAAAGCAACCTTAAGAAATGCGGCCAGTGCAAGAACGTGAATTACTGTAGCAGGGAATGTCAGCTGAAGGACTGGAAAACCCACCGCAAGATCTGCGTTCCGAAGTCAAAGTAAGTTCATTGGATATATGGTTCCGTGCCGTCGTGTGTACAGTACCGGTACCCGACACCCGACACGCAGGGGATCTTGATGCGAGCGCCTAAGACCTTGGGCAACAAGTCTGCCCCAGCCGGTCAACAGCTTCGTACGGTACCGGTAACTTTGCAAGGGCCGCAACAAGTGAGACTCTCCACTGGGCCTTATTCCCATGGTCGAGTAGCGGCTGTTTGGCAGCGTTGCGGAGTACCAGTACCTACCTGGTCCCATGCATGTAGGTACGTACCGTACCGGTACCGGTACCGGTACGGCACCAAACCACTTCTATGGCTTTTATGCAAGTACATGTAAAAAGCTTTGGACGTGGGAGAAGTCTTGTAAGTCTTTAGTCCCATTTGCTCATATCAGAACACACAGGAACAGCTCTTTTAGTCACGTGAAAAATTTTACTTAAAGGTAGAGTCAAGTCCAACGGTGAAATGTAATTGGATAATGGATGTTCGATTCACGTGCTGTACAATGATGGATTCACCATGTACCGTATTTAATACCAGGAACAGTTCCTGTTGAGCCTCTGTCGTAGATACAGTACTATTAGTACCAGGGAGAAGCAGGAAAACGCATTACAAGCATTACACACCTGAGTAGACTGGTTGGTTGTTGACTGTCAATGCTATGGCTAATAGTGAGGCTGCAACTAGAGTAACTACAAACTATTTTAATAATCAAAGTCAAACTCATTGTCGACTCTATCGTAGTACTCCACCTGCCACATCGGCTTGTCCATAATTTGGAGCTGCACAATGTTGGCCACAGCATGGGCCATCTTACCATGTTTATCAAGGGAATGGCGCCACCTCTGAAGGAGGCAGCCCCATTCCTTGAGTCTCCTATTGACACATTCGTGCCTGGCCCTTGCAAGAGCCTTCCTGCTAGTCTGTTGTTGATTGTCAAGGTGTCGCCATGGGCAGTCAAAGTACTGAGGATACCCCCTGTACCCTTTGTCAGCCACAGCTCTCTCATCTCCCTCAAACATGTAAACCAAAGAAGACAATGCAATAGCAATATCAACCCATTCACCACAAGGGAAAGGACCATTCATCCACACAATCCATCCAGTTTGAATACATACACCAATTTCATACCTCAATCCAGGACCATTAAACTTCTTGGTATACCAACCAGTAGAGAAAGGACCTGGTTCCCTGATGCGAAAGTCAGTTCCATCAACAGTTGCCAGACACCGACTGCCATTGTCATTCATCAGTCTGTTCTCCCATCTGATCTGGATCAGGAGCGGCAGTGGTGGAGGAGTGGAGCATGTACATGGTGAGCTCTTTGAATTGTAGGCGGCGATGAATAAATGGAGCTTGACGTACCAAGTCAAGAGTAGCCAGCTTTTCGATAAATACCCACACCCAATGGCGAATGGTCTTTTCATCCTTCATGAAGATCATTGCCAGCACAGGTGTCACAGTGTATGTCCTGAGGAACATGAGTGTGGCAAGGAAGTAGGTCACCCATCTGATGTCGCTCATTGGATCAGCATCATCCAGCATGTTCCAGAGCTCAGCGGCAAGATGAGGAGCCACACCAAAACAGCCACGAAACGTCCGATTGTACCTGTACGTTTCATGGTTGACTGCTCTTGCTGTGAGCCCTTGGTAGATGGAAGCAGTGCGTATGACAGTATCAGCTGTTATCTGCATGTTGTTGTAGAAGATCGAAAGTCAATTTTGTGAGAATTTCGATGACAGAAACCTCGAAGATAATAGATCAAGTCATGTCCGGCTTACCTGTAGCCTCTGTACAATCCAGTAGCGTTTCGCCATTGACTACCTTGTAAGACCACATTGAAGGTGTACCGGCAAGAAAAGAGATGCCGTCCAAGATGGTCATGGTGGTGTTCGGGCAAAAAGAGATGCTCATGGTGGAGAAGCGAAATATAGTGACTATTTTACTGGTGGTTGACAGGAATGGCGATTCGGAGAGCCAATCCTGCTTGGCTTAAGAGAGGAGTACCGGACGTTTGGTGTTTATGTGCTTGTCTTTTTCGCGCAATAATTCAAATCAGGTTCAATTTTTTGTTCACATTTTTGTCTATTCTGCTGTGGTTCGATGAAATTAGCAATAGGAGCCTCTATGGGTGCGCCACAGCTGTGCTGGTTTAGTCGGATGGAAACAATGCTTTTGATCGTGTACAGTCAATCAGTACACACAGCATTGCAGCCATGTGACAATTTGTATAGCTGAGGCATGCTATGTGTTCCAGAGCATATAAGCCTTCAGCCTAGATACAATGGAATGATCCAGGCCAACAGTCCTCTCCTAGGATCTCCAACAGTAGGATATCCTCTCCAAAAGAGCCATTCTGTCAACTGGAGTGAAATCGTGGTAATGTGTTTTAGCTTATAGATAAGAAAGATAGTAATGAAAGAGTAACCCTGAGACCCAGTAGCACCCTCAGCCCTGCAGTAGATAGATTCCTGTATGGTATGTGCTAGGGCAATGTAACCAGCTCCCCAAGTACTTTGAAGTAGTGATTGGGTAGCAAAGAACCAGCTCTCTTTGAGCTGGCCTTTCAGCAGTGGAGGAGATCTCCATCATAGAGATCTCCCTCCAGCTCTTGTGTTCCTACAACTGAGCTCCCTGGCGGAGATTCATAGGATTAACATAGTCGATAGACACACAAGAGTGGCTCTCAGTGAAGAAGAGTGGAAGAGGAAGGTGGAATTTGCCGACATCGTGACTCCAGACCAAAACGACGACCGAAATTAACATTTTCGCATAGAACAACACAAGAGTGGCTACTCGCAGTGAAGAAGAGTGGAAGAGCGAAGAGTGGAAATTGCCGACATAGTGACTCCAGACCAAAACGACGACCGAAAACTGAATCGCGACCGATTGAGCCCAAACCAAGACGGTCACCTACTAACCTGAGGTGCTCTACAAGTACCATCACCGTTCTTGTTAATCGGTCATTCGGCGGCCGATAGTGGAATACGAGCGCCATTGTCGATCTTTCTTTTTCCTTACGGAAATAATTTTCTCAGTCGTGTCTCCGGAGGTACTGCGGGAAGGAACCGTTACTCACACGGTTACTCACAGGACACGTCACTCGAACGTACCTCTGTCCGAGTACTTTTCGAAAGCAAGCCGGGCCTGTCACCGATTCCCTCACATTTTCTTGGCAATTCCGAACTCCTCTCAAGGAACCCGGAAAGCCACGAAGATACGTACTGGTCGATTGGCTCCGTACGGATCGTTCGACAGCCTCTACAATAAGGCAACTCGAAGCAACACGAGGACACCTTTCGAGCTGTAACAAGGTATCAAGGATAGTAGTGGATAGAGAAGTCCTGCTTGATCAACTACCAGCAGTGACTCCTCAAATCCACATTTGGATTTCTGTGGTGTGTTTTGTGCAGCACCTCTCCAGCCACACAATACACACACCACACCAACAATACTCATCCCACCGGTACCCTCCAAGGAACAGGCAACACCACTACACTACACTACACACACTACTACACTGCACTGTCTAGCCAGCGCACCAATCATCATGGGTCGCAAAAAAAGAAGAGCAACAGCAGGGAATGGATGCCAGTGACACAATATCACTAGCAGCATCCAATGGCACCAACACACAGGACAACACCACAGTCCACTACTGCAGAGGACACTCCGCTCACACTCCAGCTCCTCCTGTCAGAACCCTGTGGATCCCCCAGGCTTTTTGTTACCACCACACCACAGCGCCTCCCCAGCTTGGCTTCCTCAATCTAGCCAACCATGACACAACACAATGATCAGCCAACCTTTTGAGCAGCTGACATTGGACATTGACAGAGGCATCAAAGCAAGCTCGCCTTGATTCCTTCAATGCATCCTCTTCCCCCATGGCATACTATCCCATGCTCCATTCCTAGACACCTGTGTTATCACTCAAGCCAGCCCTGAGATAAAGGTGGGAGGACCGATTCAGAACAGGCAGTTTGGAACAGACTTGTTGGGTGATGTTAGGACCCCTTTGGTTATCCATCCAACTGCATAATGTTGCCATGGATGTTGCCTCTCCATCTATTGGAGATGGCTACTATGACCAAGTATGGCCCCCAATGGGGAGGAATACACCCACCAACCAACAACAATCCATCACACCCAGGGTAGAGGACACTCCCATCCAACCTGTGTCCTCCACCATCCAACTACTGGAGTTGTCTCATCCAGACACCAGTGTATTCAGCAATCCCTCCAATCAGCCAACCTTTGTGCCTCTGGAGGAGCAGTCAAAGAGGAACTCCATTCCCATCCTCTGGGGGCCAATGGCCACAACCACGGGTGAAGCAGTCCATCTTTCCAACATGCATGGCATGTTCCCATGAAAAGGATGCAAGAAAGGAGTCCCAACAATGTAGCAGGTCCTGTTGATTCAGGAAATCCAGACTGCTTTGTTGGCAATCCACAAGGTATAAGACAACGGTGGCCAAGGAATCCTGATGGCACTGATCCATGTCCTGGAGGAGTGGAGGCGGTGGCAATCAAGAACCAGAACGCAGGTACTTCCGGGCCAAGGCAGATGCCACAGCCTACCTACTCTTAGATCCAACAAGGAGTTTGACACTTGGTATGAGGCTTTCATTGTCATAGCCAGAGAACAAGGCTTCTACAAGGTTTCGAACTGAATATGTTCCATGACTGCCGAGTACTTTCAGAACTCCTACGGATGAACCGGTGGATCTATGCTGTCTTCCTGAACACAGTGAAGACAACCATGGGAAAGTCATTGTGAAGTCTCACTTCCATGATGCTGATTGCTTTGCAATCCTTGTGGAACTGATCAGGATGCACATGCACAGTGCAGGCTCCCTGGACCACGTT